CCCCCCCCCAAAAAAAAAAAGGAAAATAAAGGGTAAAGTAAGTAAAGTAGAAAAAGTATTCAAACCAAAAAAAAAAAAAAACAACCAAAAAAAAAAAAACAGTGTAAGAATTTCTCCCCCGGACAGGCTTGAACTGTCAACCTCTCGATCGCTCCCTTTATTCTTCTTTTTTAAACGTTCTTTTGGGCGTTTTTTTTTTTTTTTTTCACTTTCCCGTAAAGAACTACTAGAGTAACAGTCGAACGCGCTAGCCAATTGCGCCACGGAGGACTTTTCTATTTCCGTTATCTAAATAGTGTAGGTAGGAAGGTAGGTAAGTAAGTAAATCTGTCTCTTCACCGAGATGAACAACTCTTTTCCGTAGAGTAAGTATCTAGATAGATACACGACAATGGAACAATATAATAGGTAGGTAGGTAGGTAGGTAGGTAGGTACGTCTCGCGTCACTTTCAAGGACATGACTGACTTTCAAGGACATTTGTATCGTGGGATTGGCAATTGACTGTAGGTAGGTAGGTAATTAGTTAATAGTTATTGGAGGGTTCGACCGTCGACGCAACCTCATCTCATCGTATTACTACTACCTAACCTTACCTCCTTACCTCGTAGCAACAAAGAAAACACTCAAAGTCAGTGAGAGTTTATCAAGATATCCCTTGTAACTTATAATTATACTCATTTTGGGTACGTCTGTTTTTTTTTCTTTTTTTTCTTCTTCTTTATCTTGTCTGCGCAGCTATCATGGTTAAGCTATGGGTATCAATGAAGAGTAGAAGGGGCATTCAACATGAAAGACCTGGCCCTTTTTCTCAATCCAAGCCTTTAAATTTAAGAACCCCGTGAGCGCCGTGTGGTCCGAGATCACCCTTTCCGCCTTTGCCCTTCCTTCTCTTTCTCTTACGTCTACCATTTCCTTCATCATCGTCGTCGTCGTCACTGTCATCGCTGTCCGAATCATCTGATTTTGTGCCATTATTTCTTGGTGCTGGGTGTTTTCCGCTACCGCTTGGCTTAGGCGCATCATCATCGTCATCATCATCGTCGTCGTCGTCGTCGTCGTTTGGACTGTCGTCGTCACTGTTCTCGTCACTATCATCATCACCTTGAACTGACTTGGCCAATGTTGAATCCTCCCAGATCTTGATGGTCTGACCACCACCACTTATCATGCGACCCTGGCAATCAAAGCCAAGGCCCACGACAGCCTCGACGTCATCATGTCGCAAGGACCCGACTATCTCTCTTTTGCTTAGGTCCACAATGCGTAGACTCCCATCACCGAGCCCAATGGCCACCTTTTTGTTTCGGCCGGCGACATCGGGGGTCTGCGCGATGCAATCGAGACTCTCACCACCCCCTCTGCCCGAGTCCACGATGACGCGATCAAACTGATCGTCCCACGCCCCCTTATCCCAGAGAGTCAGCACGCCGGATCCCGTACCGACCGCCACGACGCCGTTGTCCCGGTTTTTCTTGGGTCCCATGCCGGCGACGAAGATGGAGCATAGCAGCTCGTCTTCTTGGTTCTCGCTGCGCACGAGCACGCCGCGGCGCAGATCCGTAATGGCCAAGGTGGTGCCGCCCGTGGAAATCCACTGCTTGCTGAAACCGCTGGTGCTCTCGGTCGTGGGCGGCAGAGGCGTGATGCTCGAGACGAAATCGTCGTGGGGGAAGTGGCTCTGCTGCGGCTTCGCGTCGGCGAGGGCGCTGTCGCGCAGGTCCAAGAGGTGGAGGACGCCGGAGTCGCATGCGAGCAGGAGGGTCTGCGGGGATAGCACGGATAGCAGAGTGGGAGAGTCGGGTACGGATTTGGCAGTTGGCACTGCAATCTTGGAGATCACTTGACCGGTGGTGGGGGAGAAGTGTTTGACCAGAGAGTCGGTACCTGCTGAATAAAGAGCTATACAAACGGGAATTGGCCGTTAATTAGCTTCACTTTCCTAGAACTTTACGGCTCCGAATAAAACCGATAGGTAAGGGGAAAAGGGAAACCCACAGGAGCCATCATGGTTAAAGACAAGAGAGCGACAGCTGCCCTTGTGTCTGCGAGTTCGCCAGGCCGTGTCAATGGTGCGCATCCCGTCGGAGAGAACACTGACGTCGGCTTCGTCTCCCTCCGAACTATCAGCGGTGGGGAGACGGAAACACTGCACGTGGCCGCTGGCGAGGCCGACTCCCAGGAGAGGTTCCGTGGGATGCAGAGCTTGTGTGAAGAGCTCAGAGCTCAAGGGGAGCGTGCAGAGGTTCTCGAACATGACCGCGATGAGTCGATGTAGGGTCAAATTGAGTTGGGATAGTATTGACAACTGGAAGATATTCTAATTCTTGAGAGTAAAGCAAGGTAGAGCACCCAGGTCATAATTTTCGGCACGCGTAAATGAAGTCGATTTGGAGAGCTGGAGGAGGAGGAGGGGATGGCATGTTTTTGTTTTTTTTTCGTTGACGCAGTTACAGAAGTTGCGCAAGAACTACTCTAAGGTCGATTTGACGCCTGGCCCTTGTCTAGTACACCCCTTATATGCATAGAATACAGATAACTCCTTTTAAATAGATATATATGCGCTTTAGGTAGTGCATTTTGAGAAATAATAGAATAACTGTCTAAAGGGACCTGAGTACTTGACTTTTACATCTACTATATAACGTATTAGACCCCCATCCGGCCCAGGCCAAGATCCGGCCCGCCTCATTTTCCCATACAAAACCGCGATTTTTCGAAAAGTCACAACTTCTTCAATTCAACGACTTAGACCGTAAAACTTTGACATAGTGCGTAGAATTACACAGAGAATAGGAATATGAGGGTTTGAAAAGTTTTGTCCGAGGGTGGGCGGCGGAAATTCACTTTATGCCTATATAGCATATAGCGCCAAATGGTTTACAAGCATAAAATGGATTTCCGCGGCTCAATCCAATCTGAAATCTTGCAAACCTCACTATTCGTAATCTCCGTGCCATTTCACGCATAATGTCACAGTTTTACAGTCTCAATCGTTGAATTGTCGAAGTTGTAGCTCTTTGAAAATCGCGGTTTTTGTATGGGAAAATGGGGTGGGCCGGATCTTGGCCTGGGCCGGATGGGGGTCTAATACGTTACATAGCACCGGCACCTAAATTGACATAACCTTGGTTACATACATATATATGCCCTTTGTGGGCACACATCTACTCTCTAGATACCTAACTATATGCATAGGTACCTTTCTGCGCTGAACTCCCCGTTCATGATAAATACCGACCTGGCTCTCCATGAAAGTGTTTCGACCACTGCATCCAATGGTTTGCTTTTTCCCTGTGTGAAAGATGAAAACATCCAGAAACGAATAAAAAAAAAAGGATGTTCAGGCAAAACCGAACAAATATAGCACCCCAGTAAACATCTAGGCAGGGCAGTGAACAGCGACCTAATCCATCCTCCCCCACCTCATCTTCCAAGATGATGTCCCTCTCCTACTGGCGACAGCTTGTCTTCGTCTCGTTGTTTGTCGTCGCCGTGGCTTCGACGACAGCCCTACGTAATGTCATGTATCTCACGGGGTATGATGACCATTATTCTAACACTCGTATGGATTTATCAATCGATTGACACATAAATCTACAGCCAGCACCCAGTCATTCCTGACGATGTCGACCTTATCGCCCCGGTCACTCATGTCACTTTGGCATTTATGAACTCAAACGCCTTCAACCAAGAGGAGGGCAGCAGCACATGGCCCATCTTCATGTCCGTTGAGGAAGCTCGCTCCAAGTTCCTGCCCGGGACAAAGATCATGGTAGCCATCGGCGGCTGGGGGGATACCGGCGGGTTCGATAAGGCGGCCCGTTCGGAATCGACTCGGATGAAATTCGCCCAGAATGTAGCGGCGATGGTTCGCCATACGGGTGCCGATGGTTCGTTCTATGACCGTCCTCTCTGTGAAGCACATGAGATCGCGCGCGTGATGGTTTGAATTGGGCAAATGCTAATGTGCGTAGGTGTTGATGTCGACTGGGAATATCCCGGGTAAGTTCGTTTACCGATTCGTCCGTGACAGCAATTGGGAACAAGTCACAGCGCATACATTCTATCTCAAAAAACTAATATCCTTTGGCCCAGTGGCAACGGTGAAGACTACAAGCAGGTGCCAAACGAAAACAAGGCGTGGGAACTCACGGCGTATCCCCTACTGCTGGCCGAGATCCGCAAAGCCCTCGGCCCTGACAAACTCATGTCCGCCGCTGTGCCCGGCCTGCCGCGAGATATGCTAGCCTTCACATCCGACACTCTGCCGAAGATCATGGAGTCGCTGGACTTCATCAATGTCATGACCTACGACATGATGAACAGACGTGACAACGTGATTAAGCATCACACCGGCATTCAATTGAGTCTAGAGTCGATAAACACGTACATGGCGAATGGCGCACCGGCCGACAAGATCAACCTCGGCTTCGGCTTCTTCATTAAATACTTCAAGATCGACGGGGGGCATTCCTGCGGCGAAAACCCCATTGGCTGCCCCACAGGCCCGATGGAGGATCCAGAGACAGGCGCCGATCTGGGAAAAACGGGGGGCTTCTCTTGGCATGATAGTGTCCCGCAAGAGGTAGAGGCGTCATTTGACAAAGCGCTAAAGAAGGGGCGCTATGATGAGAAGGGCGGCGGCTACTGGTACTTTGACGAGGACGAGTCGCTCTGGTGGACCTTTGACACGCCCGAGGCCATGGCGAAGAAGTTCCCGCGGGTCGTGAAGGAAAGGAAGCTGGGAGGTGTGTTCGCGTGGGGTTTGGGAGAAGACGCGCCCGGCTTTACGCACTTGAAAGCTCTCAATGCGGGTGTACTGCGCCTCACTAAGACGAAGGATGAGCTATAGGCTATACCTATTACACTGCGCGAGCTAGGTATTCGAAAAGGGTAGAGGCAGAGGTAGGTGATCCTTGGTTGGCACAGACCTACCTGTGCATATCATGTGTAGACGGCGGCAGTCGGCAAACCACTGGAGCCTTTGGGCCAATAGACGAACTGGACTGGGAATGAGAAACCCATGTTTGGAGCCCCTCAAAAAGGGAAGATGACTGCAGCGAAATGGCGTTTAAGGGTCCAGCGCACTAGTCTAGTCTGTGTCCTATCTAAAGCTTCCAGACCCAGAAAGCCAGAAGTCCTTCGGGTCACTCTGGGACGGGCGCGTAACTACGGGTTCTGTACGGGCGGCTGGTACGGACTAATAAAAGAGGGAAAAAGGAATGCAAAAAGAAGTCAGCCAATCAGGTCATCAGTTATTCCCAAAGC